TGACAAGGAGGGAATGATCAGGGCAGCTGCAGAAGGAAACCTTGCTTACTGAGCAATGAAATCACTATGGGAAATCCTGAGAACTCAGGAGGACATGCTCAGTTGGTCCATGCTTAAAGCAAAGACATCCAAGTCACCATTCTTGGCAATTTAGTAGAAGGTTGTCAGACTAGGAGGTCAAATAGACAGCTTGGCTTGGCAAAATGAATGAAAATTCATTTGTTAAGAATGTCTAGAGGCACTGGTACCTGTGCAGAATGACCAAGTTAGAAACAAAAAGGTAAAGAACACAATAGGTGGAGCTGGGCAGTGTGGCATGCTCCTTCACTCTTTTGTACTGTGAGGTGCTTGTTTATCTGCATGTTTTACTCTTATAACACCACTAAGGAGTCAAGGCTGTAGAATCTATCATTACTCCATCAGGTTTGTAAGACTCTGTTACACATAAATAAATATATACTTTTTCTATTTACTTTTTTAGGGGATTTTCCCATTTAAAATCTGACTCCCTTCAAATACTATGCACTCTTATACTTTAATGCCTTATTTGTTACAGTCCTGGCAAGCCTGCCAAAAACTGTCAGGATTTATTCCCACAACTATTTTGTCATGAATGGGATATACATAGCATCCTCTAATATATCTGCTACTGTTTGGCAAATATCCTTCAACTACACCCACAATTTCAGCCTCCATACTCTCACTCCCCATGTAGGCTCGCCTCTGTTTCCTTGCTTTCTTCTTGTGAATGAAACACAATGAGTGTGAGGTAACAATATTGGTGCTGTATGGCTTATTTCATCTTGCCTACCCCTAGATCTTTCCCTTCTCCCACATCTCCTGTCCACACACAATACGATTACCTATCAAAGAGTTGCATCATGGTATATTATCTTTTTATTATCTACATTTATAAAGTAGTTATAAACATCTCAAAGTACACATTATATTGATTTACATGATAAAAAACTATTACTATACTTTATTTATATTCACAATAATCTCATATCTATTCAAATTCATAAATAAAAGTTTGCAATCTCTTGACACTTATATCTGAGATATGGTGATGAAATATATGCTTTCTGGTGTAAAGAATTTGGCCTGATATAACTTAAAAACTCATGCTATTTTTACAGTTCTTTGGGCTCCTTTTAACACCCAAAGACTACAGTTCCTTAGCCTCACACTGCTGCCCAGACACATAAACCTCTAATCTATTGCCAGGGCCAATTTTGATCTCTGATGTTTGTAAAGCAAGAAGGTTGTTCCCCTGGGCAAGGCACTTCACCTTGATTTCCTGCTGGTAACCCAATCAGTATAGACACTGCTAATGAAGAAAGCAACAGGAACCTACTTTGGTACCTCTCCATATTTAATCAATGGTGAAGATCTTAAAGGAACACTCAGAACACAGTGAAAGATCTCGCCACTAGATGACAGCCACTGGTCATGAGAAACATTGGTCACAGCTGTTCATTTCTGTCCTTGATGATGTTGACAGTAAAAATTTATATACCAGAACAAGGCATACAGCCTTGTACTACTAGTGAGCAGTATAACGAAGCATCAAAATTGAATAAAGTTACTGGTGCTGTAAAAATAGAGGGAGAGGGAGAAGAGAGAAAAAGAGAGAATAAAGGAATATAAGATGTATATACATATATGATGATGAAATAAATTGATGAAGTTTAAAACTGTTGTCGGGGAAATGGAGTAAAAGGGTACTGTATAGGGTTGTTTGTAGGGAAGGTATATATTGTCATGGTTTCTGAACCCTTCTTTGACCCCTTGTACTAATCTGCATGACAGTTACAAAGATCTACAATGTTGGGGGATAGGGACGATTCTCATTGTTTTGCTCAGTGTTATTACAGCACATTGTATTGTCTGAATTTGCTACCTTAATATTACCTCATGTATATGACTTTCAATTACATGATTGACACGCAAAGTTGATAATAAAACCATTATATAAAGGATGAAGGTAGCATTGAAGTATATAATTATGGCAACAGCTAATTCCATGTGACAGTACATACCATATATATTATGAGAATTCTCATTTCATATTTACAAAGTTCATTCACATAATGCAGAGCACCTGGAACAGTTACAGGAGGTACTCATATGACTGATCCTGAAAAACAAGGGGGCATTGGGAAATGAAAGTGTTTGCAGGTGTGTACATGCTATACACTGAGTTTTCTTATTTTACACTTAATATACAGGGAGAATTGGGACTGGTTGGGTGGGGGTACTTGCAAAACAATTCTAATACTTCCTTACACTTCCTACCTCTCATCAACAATGAAAACTACTGTGAGGAAACACCCCATAAGTTTTTGAAAGCCTATGCTCATGAGTCATCTCAGATTATATATTCTGTTTATCAAAATGCCTAAAACGTCTATGACTGTTAACCCATTGGATCCGGTTGCGTCATGGCAGTCACATCACCAAAAATCTGGGCATTAGGCTGATGTGAGTGGCTGCTTGTGGGCCAAGCACACATGAAGCCATGTGTATTTTGACAAGACTATGCCTCTATTTCCAAAGTTAATTATTCTTTTTACACATAAGTGTTTCAAGTTCTTAGCAATTTTCCAATGTCCATAGCTGCCATCTGATTTTCATTATCTGGATGGTAGGGTTTTTTTTCTTTGCACAGATTCCATATCATCTCTCTAGGTAGTCTACAACTCAGTGAAAGAAAAATAAAACTATGTAACACTTTTTTTTTTTTTTTTTTTTTTTTTTTTTTTTTACCCAAATGCTGACAGGTGAAAAAAATCCCAGAGAATTTTAAACTCTGGAGATTTCTGGAAATAGCCAGACAGTGGGCGTGGGAGTCCACAACATCAAGCTGAGTGCTCTGGCGTGTCACTGCGTAGACAGGCTTACCCTGCAGACCAAGCGGTTTGTTATGTCGCCAATACATGTGGCCTGTCAGCATTGGGCTAATTTTTACATAATATTTAATTTTTTGTGATACCACCTGTGTCATTAGTCACTGTGCCAGGAATATGATTCTGAGCATGGAAATGGCATCCTTCATGGAGCCAGTGCTCTTCCAGTCATCACTCACAGACATTACATTCCACACTCATACATCCATGGGAATAATTGAGAAAATGAGAGAGAGAGAGAGAGAGAGAGAGAGAGAGAGAGAGAGAGAGAGAGAGAGAGAGAGAGAGAGAGAGAAAATTAAGGTTTGTGTGTTTTTTTTTTAGCTTACCTGATTGAGACTATTCCTCAGTGCAGCAATAATAGCTGTGGTATTGTGAGACGCCAATAAGTTTGACTCAGATTCTAGAGCTTGTCGCAGCTTTTCTCGTTCTGTCTGGATTCCACGCAGTAATTGCCCCAACTGGCTCACAACTGACGAAAAACATGCAGAGGGCCAGTTATCTTTAAAAAAATATTAAAATCAAAATATAATAAATTCGGTACAGGTGACTACATACAAACATTAAAAACCATGGTTAAAGTGACAGTGTGAGAAACAGGGATAGATGAAGGGTGGAAGGGAGAGATGAGAGAGAGGACAAAAGGATGGGGAGAGAAGAGCAGAGGAGAGGAGGAGGGCAGGGCCAAGAAGGAGAGAACAGGGATAGAGAGGGAAGAGAGGGGGGAGAAGATGGGAAGGAGAGAGGAAAGGTGTGAGAGAAAAGAGGGGGAGAGGAGAGAAATAGATAGGGAGGGGGGAGGGAGGAAGGAGAAAGAAAGAGAGAGAGAGAATGAGAGAGAATGCGAGAGAGAGAGAGAGAGAGAGAGAGAGAGGGAAAGAGAGAGACTCCCCATACCCTTTCTCTTAATTTGGCCATTAACCCATCTATTGCTTGGATGGTAAGAATATGTACCCTGTCCACTGTCTTTTTGTTTGATTGTCATTACATAGATGGCTCCACAGGTGCTTAACCCCTTCACGACGGGTGACACTGCTAGGCGTGAAAACAAACTGCTCGAAAAGTGGCGTGCGGCTGTACGCCGTGGCGGCACGCAAAGGCGTGGCGAGCCAGTGATTCGACCTGATGTACTGAACTCACGTGCTCAAAGTCAGCGCGCTGCCATAGTTCGCCAGAGCGTAGTTTCTTTTTTTTCTTCACTCGCCAAGGAGTAAATTACTAGTTCTACCTATTTCACTTGCTTATCCTTTTCCTTGATATTTGGAGAGTCTTTTTTTTTACTATTATTATTGCTATTAGTGTTGTCAATGACATTATTCTAGTGAACCAAGATTTTATTTAATCAGTAATTAACTACCTCACTAGGGAATAGCATGAGTGAGATACTCTAGGGTACTTAACCCACTGACGACACCGGGTGTATATATAAAAAAAACTCTATGCTCAAGCAAACAAAGGCCGACTTTGAGCGCGAGAGTAGGGGACATCAGCCCGAATCACTGGCTTGCCGCGCTTTGGTGCGCAGCCGCGGCGTACAGCCGCACGCCAACTTTCGAGCGGTTTGTTTGCACGCCGATTGGCGTCACCCGGCACCAAGGGGTTAAGATATTTCTAGGAGGTGGTTATTTGAACATTTCATAGATTAGTTTATCATGCCAACATGTTACTATCCTTTGTTTGCACCAAACTACCTTGAGCTTTACTCTTGCTGTCACCCAAATAACCTGCCTCATCCCTTTCTTCAAATGAAGGTCAATCAGGTGGCCTTGCCTGGAAGAGGGCCAATGAAAATGACCATACCTACAGGGGTAGGTATGGTAGGGGGTAACTCTTGGGCAAATTTCAGGAATGCCAGGAAATGGGCAGTCAGGATTTAGCATGGACTTCATAAAACACATGGGATTATTACCAATGCTTCACAGTGTATCTGCACCTATATATATAGCATAGATAAAGCTGCTTGGTGAACAGAGAATATTTTTGTTACCACAAAAGAAAACCACTAGTGTCAGGTGCAATACTATCATGTCAACAACAATAACATTGATATCAATAGCATATTAAAGAAATATTTTTACTGAAAACTCAAAAAAATGGGGATATCAGCTAAAAGGTAATTGGGCTTACTATACTAATTAATAAATTAATAAGGAGCCACCTGTGTGAAAACAAAATCCACAAAAGAAAATGATAATACACAGTGTGGCACTGATGAGTTAATACAGAGTCAGGTGTCGAAACCTACAACACAGTTAATATGAAATGTACATGCAGAGCAATGGTAATAGCTCATTACTGCTAACTAGCTCACTAACCTTCTTTTGCTAAAATAGTGAAGTCTTCCCTTGTAGAGCTCTCCATTGACAGAGTGATTGCTGGGGGATGGGTTGTCTGGTGAGGCTGAGATGTAGGTGAAGGTGTATTTGGAAGCTGTACACCTCCAACTATAGCTGATGAAGTATCAGAATAGCTGTGAGGTCGGGAAGCAGAGGGATGCCAATGTGCATTGTGGAGTGCTAATGTTGGGTTGCTGCTGCTGAGGGGACGCAACTCGCACAAATTCCCATCCACTTGCTGGAAAAGATATTAATCTACATCAATCAACCCATATTAACTCATGACATACAATGGGTGATGTCTTATTACATCATGAATCTGTCTCAAATGCTGGGTTGATGTCTTGCACTCACTATTATAATCCACATAATAAATCAGACTTGGATCATTGTGGACTTATGGACACGTGCCCTTGCCAGATTTTACCAAAAATATTTCCCATCATGTTGGGTTACATACATCACCAGAAATTTATCTTATGAATGATACTTGCTTTTTACCACATTTATAATAAAAAATTGCACACACACACACACACACGCACCCACACATATACGTGTATATATATACACACACAAACATGAATATATGTATATATATGTGTATATATATATATATATATATATATATATATATATATATATAAATAAACATATATATACGTACATACACACGCACACACACACACGTGTATATATATATATATATATATATATATATATATATATATATATATATATATATATATATATATATATACACACACATGTATATATTCATATATAGATATATATATACATATATATATATATATATATATATATATGTGTATGTATATATATTCCTACACACACATGTATGTATATACACAGATAGTCCCCTACTTAAGAACATTCTACTTATGAACATTCCATACATACAAACAAAATTAAAAAAAAATACTTAAGCCCAAAAAATTGTTTGAAAGATGTTAGTAAACTTCAAATTTCCCGGGAGCGAATATAGTTCACGAGTCTGCCGTGCTCACTCAGCTGTGCGCATCACTCGCCTCAGTTGCCTGCCCTCCCGCCATAAACATGAAAGCATCTGTTCACTGTATTTTCTTTTGGAATAAATTATGTTTCTACATTAAAGTTGTATGAATCACCATCAAATAATATTAAAAGCATTACATATTATAGATACTGTATAAGGTATGTCATACTTATTGGGATTTATGTACAGGTATTCTTAATGTAAACAAAACAAAGCAATGGAGACCTGACTTTCGACATACAAACAAATCGACTTTCAAACAGCCTCTCGGTCCCCATTATGTTCTAAGTTGGGGACTTACTGTATATATATATATATATATATAAATATATATGCACACTCACACATGTATATATACATACATATATATACATATATATGTATATATAAATATATATATATATATATATATATAAATATATATATACATACATATATATATATATATATATATATATATATAAATATATATATATATATATATATACACATATATATATAAACACATATATATACACGCATATACATATGTATATGTATATGTGTGTGTGTGTGTGTATATATATGTATGTGTATATGTATATATATATATATTTTTTTTTAACAGCCATTTATTCCACTGCAGGACATAGGCCTCTCTCAATTCAGTATTGAGAGGTTATATGGCAGTGTCACCCTTGCCTGATTGGATGTCCTTCCTAATCAACCGTGGTTCGGCGTGTTAACACTTGTGCCACGGCGGTGACTTTCCCTATGACACCTGCATTTTGAATTCTCAAGCCGATATGTCGTTTTCTCGGGCTCTAGCTAGTAGTTAGACCACAAGGGTCGGAGTCCAGTGCTCTTACCACTGAGCTATTGCGGCAGTCTATATATATATATATATATATATATATATATATATATATATATATATATATATATATATATACATAATATATGATCTGTGAAAGTGTTACCTAAGATTATACTGTTATATAATCTGAATATACTGTTATTATTGTTATTGATGATATGATTATTAAATTGTCATTAGAATATTTTAGACAATGAAATGATACAAAATACCCTTTTTTAAAGTGAAGGAAAAGGGTAAACAGGTGAAATAGGTAGTTCTTGATAACTGGATATTTGATGATTAAGAACTTGTGGAGCCATCTATGTGTAAATACAAAAAATAAACGTGTATCAAAGTGGGTATGGTATCTATTCTTGCCAC